CGACGAGCATGTTTGGGCCCCGCGGGCTGCCCCCACCCCCCCTTTGCGGGACGCCGCCTTAAAGGTGGCCGCCCGCCTGGACGCCACGCGGCAGCAGCAGCATGACCCCGCTGGCGCCGCGGGCGCCGCCGGCCCCGCGGCGGGGGCGGGGGGTGGCCTGCTTGCGTCGTCGTCGTCGTCGTCGTCGCCGCCGTTGATGTCGTTGACGTCGTCAACGTCGTCGATGTCGTCGTCGTCGTCGTCGTCGTCGTCCGTCGTCGTCGTCGTCGGGGTCGTTAGGAGTCAGTGAACATCAGACCTCCTCCTCCTCCTTCTTCGTCTCCTCTTCTCTTCAGACCGTTCAGACACGCCTATGCTTCACCGCAGTGCGATGGATGAATCTCTCTCTCTCTCTCTCTCCCATTGTCCTTTTTTATTTTCCTCTCTCTCTCTCTTTTGTTACCTCTCTCTTTTTATTGTTGTTTGTCCCTCTCTCTCTCCATATATATATATATAACTATCTTCATATTTATATGTACATATATATATATATATGTATGTATGTATGTATGTATGTATGTATGTCTATATATATATATATATATATATATATATATATGTATATGAAGATTCCCCACACAGTGCTGGCACTCGGGGGATATTACTTGCTACCAGGGAGCTGGCCCTGTCTGTCGGTTTGGCGGCTTTGTTGCCGCCGTCGCCGCCCTGTCGCCGCCTCGTCGCCGCTGGTCCTCTGGGCCTGTCTGTCGGTTGCCGCGCTTGTTTCTGCCGTCGCCGCCCCGTCGCCGCCCGTCGTCTGGGCCTGTCTGTCGGTCGCCGCGAATGTTGCCGCCGTCGTTGCCCGTCACCGCCTCGTCGCCGCCTTCCGTCTGGGCCTGTCTGTCGCCGCGCTTGTTGCCGCCGTCGCCGCTCCGTCGCCGCCCCGCGTAGATGGCACAATATATGTATATATGGATGCACATATATCAACAAAATGTATGTATGTATGTACGTAGGCATTTATGCTAGTATGTGTATGTGTATATATGTACATTCATGATTATTTATGCATACACATTTTGCGTACATATACGTCTACATGTCGCGCAACAAAGTTTGTACCACACATATTCTCCTTTCTAGAAGAATCTTAGGATCCACCCCTTCCCCCCGGGGTCAAGGGGCCACCTTTTCGTATCTCAATTTGCATCTGTTTCTGCTCTCTCGTCCATCCTAAATCTGAACTCGTACCATCCCAGGCAGGCCGGTTTCGGTTTTTCCCAATCCTCTGCAACAAATACTATGCGCGCGCACTGCTTTATAGACGTCGTCGGTTTTCAGAATTCCCTTGTAAACAACGGCACGAAGTGCACACGCGCGCGTCGTCGCGCGCGCATGCCGAAATCCTTCAACTTTAGGTGTCGTAAGGATTTCAAAACCGATGGCCATGAAAACAAAAGCATATAAACACACGTGTATTCGTTCATGCTTACTATTATTCTAACACATATATATATATATATATGATATTAGCCTGCGCCAGCACTCTTGCAAATTCTGAACACACCCATTTGTTTTCCAACACTTCCATCACATGCTATCAAACAGGACTCTCGCGCGCGCATGTCAAAATCGTTCGAACGCCCTTGCGCGCAAGCTGTCGCATTAGTCCACGCGCGCGTCGTCGCACGCGCATGCCGAAATCCTTCACCTTAGGTTTCATAATGATTTCACAAAGGAGCGTCTCGAAAACATCTCAACACGCGTGGTTTTGCAACATCAGTTTAAACCATAATCCTGCGCTCGTTTTGTGGATCATTCAGAAAATCATCGGTTCTCTCTCCTTGTCATCACATTCTGCCAAGCGGGCCCCTCACGCCGCATGTCGAACTCATTCGAACGCCGTTGCGCGCGTGCTGGGGGGTGGGCGCGATTCGTGTCAGAGGAGGAGGAGGAGGAAGTTGAAGACGCGGGCGGCCAGGCGATGCCGAGGCGATGTCAAGGAGACGGGCCTGTCGATTTCGGGGCCAGGCAGGGCCTCCTTCGGCTTTGTCTGCTGGCCGAGGCCCGCTCAGAGCTGGTCCCTGCGCTCCTCCCTGGGCCTACTGTTGGCGATTGCCTCGGGCGGCGTCTAGTCTTGGCCACGAGGCCCCACTAAGAGGCACCCGACATACCAACAGCGCAGAAGCCCTCCGCCCCCCCCTCCATGGATGCCCCGGGAGGTCCGCGAAGGTCTCAGGAGGTCCCTGGATGGAGGAGGAGGAGGAGGAGGAGGAGGAGGAGGAGGAGGAGGAGTATGAGGAGGAGGAGGAGGAGGAGGAGTAGAAGGAGGAGGAGAAGGAGCTCCAGGAGGGGCCCCCGGAGGTCGCTGGAGGCCTTTGGGGTGTTTGTGGAAGCTCAGAACATCAGGCAATGCGCGGGAGGCGCCACTGAAGGGGTCGCCAGCCCCTCCTGAGGATCGACGCTCGAGGAGACTGGAGAACCTGGAGCGTTCTGGGAGGCTCTGGGGGTCTTTGGAGGTCCCGAGGGGGCGTCCGCTTCGAGGAGGTGGCGACAGTCCCTGAGGGTGGCCCCTTTTAAAACTGCCGTGACCAGAGCCGACGATGTCTTAAAAACCCACGTCCTTGATCCCCAGGCATCCGATGTCTTTTTATCGTTTTTGTTTTTTGTTTTTTTTGTCAGTTCGGGGCCCCCAGAAATCCCGACCTTTTCTCAAGGGCTGGCTTTTCGCCCCGATTCGTTCTTGCACCGACCCCGTGGCCCGGAGAGAGCCCCCGGCGGCCGAAAGCGGCCAACAACTTTTCGTCGCGGGTGTTGTCACGACGCGAGCATGCCTGGGTCTGGGTGCCGCCGAGGCTGGGCGGCGGCCGAGGCTGCGGGCGGAGGGAGGGGCCCGCCTCCGTGGGCAGGCCGTCGACGGCCAGCTGGAAGGGGCGGCGCAGCTCGTGGCCAGCACGCGCGCCTTGGAGGAGCAGCTGCAGGTCCGCGGCGCCTCGCCAGCCCGTGCCTCCCAGGGGCGGGATGGGGAGGACCAGAGGCGACGATAAGGGGCGAATAGCCCAGGGGAGAGCAATGCACGTACCCAGGGGCGCCGGTGACCCACGTCTTCGACAAGGCTCCCGGGCGACGACGTGTCATGCCCGCCCCTGGGCTATTCGCCCCTGTCGTCGCCGCCGGATGGGGAGGACGGGAAGGAGGGCCCATATCCACTTTGGCTCAAGGCCTTTTTTGCCCTCGGCCCCCGCGCCGCCGGCCCACGGGCCCACGGGTGGGGTGGGGGGCGCTGGCCCAGTCGCGCCCGCCGCCACCGGCGGCGACCGTACACCGTGGGCCGGATCCCTCCACCGGGCGAGGATTTTCCATGTCCACATTCGTATCTTGGGGTGCAGCATCATCCACCAGAGGGTGATCTGCCACGTCTACGGCGTTCCCCACGAGGGGAGACGTTACTTGCGGGCAGGACAGCATCCACGCCCACAGCATCTACCACCAGTTGTTGACCCACAACAACCACGGAGTATTCGGGCAAAAAACGAACACCCGACAGGGACTGGCACAGAAGACTACGTGCCCAACGGGTTCAAGATCGCCTACTATTTGCTACACTTGCTGCGAAAGAACCTTTTGATCGACACCACGGATCAATGGCGTCAGGCAACAGGCATCGCACTCCTGAGAGGTACGTCTACCAGGACAAGTTGTGCGTCAGAGGGTACAGCAGGGGCATGCCTGGCCAGGACACTAAGCAGTACGACGAAAACGATTAACGGAAAGGTGTTTGCAAACGCAATGTGCCGAAAAGCATTTGGAAGTGTCGCTGTGGTTACTGCTGGAAGGACGAGGAAAACCAACGCACGTTGTCCAGGAGACAGCCGTCGGTACCAGCTTGGAGGGCAGGCATAACTATTGAAAAGACGGTGGAGACCATCCCAGACGCTCAGACAGAAGATGCAGTGGCCAACAATGAATGGGGGCGTACCCTGGAAAACGAGGATGACTACTACAACTACCGAGTGCAATGCCACAGCAAACTCCATAATCTGGCGAAGTCGTACATGTCCAACAAAGGTGCAGGACAACCATGTTGGCACTTCTCCGAAAACATCGCCTGCATCGAGTACATGCTACAGACAGTCAAGCTTGCGGACCTGAGGCTTGAGCAGCTACGGGCGAAGGAAGCCAACCACATCAAGGCGAAAGACATCCTGGGCAAACAAAAACCCAAAGCAACAGAGCAGGGCAGGATGATGAGGAACACATTCACAAGCATCTCAATGTAGATTGAAGTAGCAGAACAAAATACCAACGACTTCGCCGCGGGCCCCAGAAGAACGCGTACGCCCAGACGGGCTTTTGGCGCCTCCAGCTCAACAGTTCTGGGACGACAAGCCCTCGGACATCCACCGCGACATCGTGAAGACGATGCAAGTGACTGTCGTGGAGGCATAATGCCAGCTAGGCGTGCACAACGCCCATGACCACATTCCCAAGCAGAATTTCCAGCATCTCAAGCACAACATCAAAGACAATATCAAGCACTAGCGCCACTTCGAGACGGACACGGAGCACTTCAAATAAGAAGTGGCAGCGCCATTGAGTTGCACTTTGTCCCCAGTTCGGGTGTCGTTTTCTGGAGCTGACCCTGCCAGAGGTAATATGACTAGCAGTTTTCGTTGTTATCACGTTTTCGTCTCTGCTTAGGCTTCGTCCTTCGCAAGTTGTAGTATTTCTCTTTCTGTGTTTACTTCCAGTTGCTTTCGAGCATGACATGTATCATCTTCCGTCTGGGCTTATTTCCAGGTCGTTTCTAGCATGACATCTGTTTTTCGTGTTGCTAGCTTCCCTGTCATGCTCCCTGCAGCAACCCATCGCGCAAACGAGCTCCCAACTACACGCATTGGGGGGATGTCAACCGCGAGCAGCATGACGTGATTCTCGCTCTTTCGACCAGTGATCGCCGGCCCAAGCACAGGTCGCCATGCCGCTGCAATTGTGCCATTGCGTTGCCGCTAGCGGATCACATGTTCTATATTTGGTCCGCGTCGTACAAGGATAATCGCAGGTGCCTCCTGGTGGCGACTGACGATGCCGAGCGCAGCAGGCGGCGCCTGCGTCTGCCCCAGGCAAAATGGATGGAAGAGCGCTTGCAGATGCTCCACGGCGGAATGGCGAGTGCAACGGAAGGCGCCGAGGTGGCTGTTTTTGGTATCCGGAAACTTGCGTTCGGCATTGTTTGGCACGGCCCGCTTACTGCTCCCACCCAGGAGTCGTGGGCGATGTACTCAGATTTCCAGTGGCCTCGCGATTCGTTCACCCTGCGAGTGTGCGAGGTGTTTGAGCTGGAGCAGCCCAGGACGAGAATGTACGCCCGCAAATGCGTTTCCACAGAGTCGCTTGGCAGACGGCCCAGGGACTCGCTATTGTCCCCCGCCCGCCCCGTTTGCCCCTTCGCGCCGCCTGCTGGACCCCCTCCGTGCCGAGGGCCGTGAATTTGGGCATGCTCGCTCGAGGATCTCATCCGGCGACCTGCAGCAAGTCCGCCGCGGCGCCAGCCTTGCCAGCCCGACAGTCGTGTTGTCCAGCGCCCCCACTTTTGGGAGTTCGATTTGAGATTCCATGCTTCCCCTGAGAGGCCGCCATTGGGCGCGGTGAGGGGATGATGGCGGCGATTGCGATGGCCTTGATGGCGATTCCGATGGCGATGCCGGTCAGAAGACCGCGAGCAGGGAAGGTTAGTGACGCATGTTGCATTCATCTGCTAGTGCGCCGCGACGTGTGGCGCGCTGCTCGTCGGCGCCTTCATGGCATTCTTTTGGTTTGCGCGCATCTCCCCCCTCTCCTACCTGCCTCTGCTTCCCGCGCCGATGGGGCGTCGCAAAGGGGCACCTCGATGATTGTGTTCCCGGAGCTTTCGTCGGAATCCTTCGTCACTTGTTAAATGCTGTTTTTAACGTGTCTTCTCCGCCTTTTTTGGGTGGGGTCCTTTTGCCTCGGTGCTGTCTTGGGGGGCTATTGGAGGCGCCGCGGGCCCCCCTGGGTCGCCGCGCCGTCGCGGGGCGTCGTAGGGCCGCCACGGTTTCTTGGAGGACTTTAGGCCACTTTTGAAGTCATTCTGGAACCGTCAGGGGTCAGTCTTGCGCCATCTTGGAGTCTTGGAGCCACCTGGGGCAGCTTTGAGGCGTTTCGGTGGGACTCGCGCGCCCTCCTGGGACATTCTCCCCGAGAACGACGCGGCCGCGTTTCGCGTTCGACGGAAAGCCCCAACTCGCCCGACGCAGCGATCTACCGCGACGTCCGGAGCATCGGCAGACCAAATCAGGCACCCAATTCGCGATCATGTCGTTCAGCGCCCCCGACCTCGACGGCGAGGGTGGCCGTGGCCAGCCAGGGCGCGTGCAGTTGCGCAGAAGCAACGGTGCCCGGGAGGCGTCGCCAGCGTGTTCCCAATGACGCGCAGACCATGTCTCCCTCGCAGGCACGCGGGGGTCAGGGCGCGTGCAGGGGCGGCAGTGCGCGCGAGGATTCGCGGCGATCCATTCTGAAGCTGACGAAGGGCAATGAGGTTTTGGCCCTTTCGCCAGTGCCGAGATCAGCCATGCCGCAGACGTGACGCATGACTACGACATCCAGGACAAGCAGATGAGGATGCCGCTGCAGGCGCCCCAGCTTCTGATTGCACCATCGGACGTCCCGTCCTTCAACGCGTGATGATGGTTGGCCTCGCACCGCGGGTGCGTGCGCGGCCAGCTACGGGGCATGCCTACTGGCAAATGCTCGCGGATGCAGTTCGCAAGCGGGGGCCAGGCGCTTCACTTCTTGACGGTGACGGCAGGGTTGGAAGCCAGACGTGCCAATGGAATGGGGCAAGGGATGCAGCGGGGAGGAAAGCGAACGTTGCGCGCGCGTGCACCACCTGCTCGTCGAGACGAACAAGTGCGCGGTGAACGCGCTTCTACTTCGCGAGGGGGGCCGCGCGCGGTCATCGGCGAAGGAGGGCCCCCGCAGCTGGATAGATTGCATCATGGTGTCAGATCAAATATTCAAAGGGTGGTTTGATTATGCTGCCCAGACGGGTGGCGTCAGGATCGGGCCGCCGACCGACGTTCGATGGCTTCGAGGGTTAGATGCCGATTGCAATTCCGAGTGCTGTGCCGCAGTGGACCGCGCGCGCTGGCGAAATCATGCATGTGTAACGAAGATGCGGGACAACCATGCCGGCGCGTCTCCGAGGATATCGATTGCGTCGAGAACTTGCTGCAGACAGTCGACCCTGCGGGCCTCGGGCTCGGGCAGCTACGGGCGAGGAAAGCCAGCCGAATCAGGGCGGGCGGTCCAGGGCAACGCAGATTACAAACATGATCGACCCACGAACCCGGAAAGGAATATAGACATGTAGCGCATGGGAACGTTTTCAAAGACGCCTGATTGGGTGACGGGCGAATGCAATGCTGAGTGTATCGATCCTCGCGTGACCTGCCGAGGGCTGTGCTGTGCTGCGCCGTGCTGAATTGCGATGTGCCATGCCGCGATTGTGCTCTATAGCGTTGTGGGCCGAGTCCTCATTTGCATCCGAGTTCTGACCGAACTGATCTGGATCTTACGATCGAGCTGCCTGAACACATAGTAGCTGCCCCAGAGCTAATTGACAGGGGGACATTCCAGGAGGACGCGCCGCGGAACGTCTCAAGGGACGCGCCAGGCGACTTGCCAGGGGACGTGCCATGGGGTCGCGCCGCGGGACGTGCCAAGGGGACGCGCTACGGAACGTGCCAATGGATGTGCCGCGGGATGTGCCGGGGGACGCGCCGCGCGACGTGCCATGGGGGACTCGCCAGGGGACGCCCCGCGGAACTTGCCGAGGAACGTGCCAGGTTGTAATGTTGAGTGTGTCGGTCTTGATGTACCGTGCTGAAGTTTGTGCTGTGCTGCGCCGTGCTGAATTGCGAGGTGGCATGCCGCGCTTGTGCTTTATAGCGTTGTGGATCGAGTCCTCCTTTGCATCCGAGTCCTGACCGAACTGATCTGGATCTTAAGCTCGAGCTGCCTGAACACATAGTAGCTGCGCCAGAGCTAATTGACAGGGGGACATGCCAGGAGGACGCGCCGCGGAACGTCTCAAGGGGCGCGCCGGGCGACGTGCCCGGGGACGTGCCAAGGGGACGCGCTACGGAACGTGCTGGGGACAAGCGTTTCGCTCGAGACATCCTGTCACAATCCTCATGCTAGACATCCGCCTGAGCGACCTGAACACGTGAAAACAAGCGTTTCGCTCAACGCATCCTCAACACACTCTCATGCTAGACATCCGCCTGGGCGAACTGGACACGTGAAAACAAGTGGCTCGCTCGAGACATCCTCAACGCATCTGCATGTGAGACGTCCGCTTGGGTAACCTTGGCACGTGAAAACAAGCGTTTCGCTCGAGACGTTTCCGACACCTCCTCATTCTAGACATCCGCCTGGGCGACTTGTACTCGTGAAAGCAAACGTCTCGCTCGAGACATCCTCAACACATCTTCATGTTAGACATCCGCAAGGGCGACCTGGACACGTGAAAACAAACCTATCCCTCGAGACATTCTCAACGCATCCTCATGCTAGGCTTCCGCCTGGGCAACCTGGACACGTGCAAACAGGCATCTTGATTGAGGATTCCTCAACGCATCCTCATGCTAGACATCCGCCTAGGCGACGAGGGCGCGTGAAACCAAGCGTCTCGCTCGAGACATCCTCAACAAACCCTGGCGCTAGACCTTTGCCTTGGCAACCTGGAGGCGTGAAACCAAGCGTCTCGCTCGAGACACCCTCAGGACCTGGGCACGTGAAAACAAGTATTTCACTTGAGAGGTCCTCTGAATTCTGGTCCCCAGGAGAGGACAATCTATGACGCAAAACATGCGTTTCGCTCGAGACATCCTCAACAAATTCTGAAAAACCAGCGCTTCGCTAGGGGCATCCTCAGAGTGTAGTGGCCTTCGGCCAGTGCCGCCGATCCGGGTCGCTCGGTGTTATTCTCCAGACGCAGACATTATGGGCGCACACTCAAACGCACAAACTTCTCGGGTTACCTTCGAAAGGGCGTAGGAATGCAGTTGGGTCAATAGAGCCATCTCGCAACAGTGGTTCTATCAACGGCGGGGTGCTTGCAGTGACCGTGGGGACGGGAAATAATAATGACATGAAAATTCCATACAGGATGCCGATCACTTTGGAAACTCACGATACGTCGTGCACGGAGTCGTGTTACGAAACATGTGGCCTGGACGATGTGGTGCGAGCGGTGGAGGCGAGCCTATCGGCGCAAGGACGCCCTCTTGGGGTGTTTTTTTAGCCATCTTAGGAGCCTGTCAGGGCGTCGTGGGGGCTTCTTGGGGGCTTTCGGAGGCCCTCTTGGAGGCTCTTGGGGCCTCCTGGGGGCCTCGTGGGCTGGAAGGCTAGTTTTTTTCTGCTTTTCGTCCCTCTTTTGGGTCCTCTTGGGGCCGTCTTGGGGGCCTGTTGGGCCGTCTTGGGCGGCTCTTGGGCCGCCTTGGGGCCCTCTTGGGCCGTCTTGGGACTGTCTGGGGGCCTCCTGGGACGTTTTCGAGCGGTCTTGGGGGCCTCTTGGGCCGTCTTGGAGCGTCGGAAAGCAGAAAAAAGCGACAACCCCAAAAACATTGAAAAAAACAATGGGAATCAACGATTTTTGCCTCTGGGGGCCATCGTGGGAGGCCTCTTGGAGGCCTCTTCAGACGTCGTGGAAGGCTCTTGGGCCGTCTTGGGGCCATCTTGGGCGTGTTCGGGCGATCCTTCGGGGTCTCGGGACTTTCGTAGACCGTCCTCAGAGACTTTTGCGGCCGCGGCCACCCTTCCAGCGCATCCTCGAGATTAGAGCCTTCTGTAAAAGCAGCGCCCCGCATCCGACGGAAACTCGCACCTCCCCCCCCCCATCCCCCCTTCCCCGGCAGAGCCACCCCGGCAACCCCCCCAGAGGCTGAGGCTCAGCCTCGAGGCTGTAGCTGAGACTCCTTGAAACTCAAGCGCTTCGCTAGGGGCATCCTCAGATTTCCAATTCGCCGTCCCTACGCGACCTCGTTATTTGTCGCAGAATCATTTCGCCGGCCCAACAGCCGTCAGAACGGGGGTAAACGCATTAAAAGAGCACCCTGGCCTGAGCCCTCTCCGCGAACAGAGCAGGACAATTACAATTCTGACGAAAGACTCGCCGGCGTCTCCGGAGAGATGGAAGCAGCGCGGCAAGATGCCAGCGGCCCCGCCGCGGGCCCCAGGAAAACGCGCGCGCCCAGACCGGCTATTGGCGCTCCAGCCTCGAGATTTTGGGGCGACGTTTTCAGGGGCGCTGACCGCGACGTTGCGAAGACGACGCGCGTGGCGGTCGTGGAGGCAGTTTCCAAGCTCGGCGCGTGCAGCGCCCGAGACCATCCCGCAGGAGGGCCGCCAGAACCTCGATCAACATGATCGACCCACGAACCCGGAAAGGAATCTAGAAATG